CATTGAGGTCACTCCGTTCCCCTATAACCCTACATCCTTACTTGCTAACTTGCCCACCAATTAGGACACGCCGTAGCGCAACCTATATGAAAACTGCAGCCTAGCAAAGCTTTAGTTGTAGTAACCAAGGACATAAGATATCTTGTGGCACTGGAGGAGGAAGAACTAAACCGATCGACCGCAGAAAAGGTTTCTGAAAACTAAAAAGAAACAAAAGCCCTGCAAAGGTTTCAGAAAGGAAGAGAAATCGCTTAAAGTGAAAATTCCCTCTAAACTTCCCAGCATCCCTTGCGGTCTGTCGTTTTCAGTACTTCGGTTCTCATCGGCGTCCTCTGTTTTCCGCTTAGAATGAATGAACTGAAACTTAAACTTGGCGAAAAAAAAAAAAAAAATCAGGGACAGAAGTGCCAAAAAAAAAAAAATTCTTTCCTATCCTCTAATTCCCATCAGAAAAAAAAAAAGTCCAGCCGCCCTGAGCCAAAGTGCGGCCATCTTGTACCTTATCTCCGCGGACAGCTAAAAAAAGTTTCAGAACAAGTGTCAGAAAAGTGTGCAACTCTTAAGGCCCTTCCACTGCAACCTATCAACTGTGCAAGACTGATTAGTGACGGAGGTTGGTGGCGGAGCACCAAGGTGGGTGACGGAGGGTGTCAGCGGCGCTGGCAAGCGTCCGGAAAGAGAGGAATGGAGGAGAGAGAAAAGGAGGAAGGTCTGTGCTCAGCTGCTTGGATATCAGCACGAGTGTTTTTCTGGTTCCTGGATTAGTTCCAGTGAAAGAGGAAAAAAAAAAAAAAAAAGAATGACAGGAAACAGCGAGGAGGGGAGGAGGAGAGGCGAAAAATAGAAGATGTTGGGGAGGGAGGAGAAAGAAAAAAGGGCGGAAGAGAGAAGACAGAGGAGGAGAGCAAAGGGGGGAGACATGGCTGAGTGCATGGACAGAGTTCAGGAGGAGCTAACAAGCTGTCAACACATGAGCAAAAGCAGATGCCAACTTATAGGCAACTATTATCTACTATGGGTTTAAAGATCGTATCCAAACAAGCGTAATGGAATCCAGATCTGTAGTCATTAAAGTGGAAGCGAACCAAAAAAAAAAAAAAATGCTGACAGGTAGGATTTTTATGACAGGAGAGACCCTATTGGTCATAAGTACTTCTCCTTGCCTGTCAATGTACACTGAGCCGCGCATGCTCTGCTCAGTTTAATGTACATTTATGGCACGGCACTGTGCCATAAAGATGCTACTCCCATGCACATATGCAGGAGTGACGCCATCGTGGCCCAGCCGTTCAAGTGACTGGGGAGTCCGAACTTGGAAAGAAGACTGGAAGAAGATGGAAGTGCACTTGACCAGCGGGATCTCTGGCAGTGCAACGCTGGAGGGGATCGTTTGACGGGTAAAGGTGGGAATACACGATTAGAAAATCGACCGATCAGTCATCCGATGACTGAGAGGTGTTTGTTCGTTGGTCAAAATCATGGCCCACATTAATCAATTTAAAAAGATCGTTTGTAGGGCAATACGTAGTGTTATTATTATTATTATTATTATTATTATACAGTATTTATAAAGTGCCATAGTTCACTCAGCGCTGTACTTTACAAAGGGGGACAGAACATGTGACAGAACAATAACAATACAATGCAAAACATGAGGGGATCGAGGGTTGACGTCTTCCATACAAGTGGAAGTGATGCGGTGTGACCTTGTAGCCACGCCCAGAACGAGCGATATACACAACAATTACCAGCAATGAGTATAATATTGTTTATTACATGACCTATATACATAAATAGTGATACATAAAATATAATCTGCAGAATTCCGGTTTCATGATCTCATTAGGCCGATCTACTTTTAACATTTGGATTTTTCGTTCGTGTTTACGAAGATTCCTTGGACATAAACATCCGGGTCATCTTCCGTTTCCGCTCACGCGTGATAGTGCTTGATAGATTTTTTTCATACAACCGTCATACCACGCATAGAAAATCAGTCATTCGTATGCAAAACGACAAAATTTTTCACTGTTGTTCAACCGGATTTTTTCGTTCACATTATTGTTATTGGTTAAAACATCCTGCTCATCAATGAAAAGAAAAAGGTTCAATCAGTGATTCCGCAAAATTTTTAATGCAAATTTCTTACCGTGTGTATGGGGCATAAGTCTGCCATAGGGGTTGATTTGCTCAAACTGGAGAGTACAAACTCTGGTGCTGATCTGCACAGAAACCAATCTGCTTCCAGGTTTAATTGTCACAGCTTAAAGGACAAGTTCACCTTTTGGCCAAAAATAATAAATACACATTTTTTTGCAGGGAAAAAAAGGGGAAATAATTATTTTTGTCCAGAGGAGCCTGGAAAGCATTGCAGATGCCATGCAGGTCTCCTGCAGACCTATCAGAATATCTGCTTGCCGTACGGGATGTATGAGGTGTACGGGGTGTATGAGGTGTACAGGGTGTACGAGGTGTACGGGGTGTATGGGATGTACAGGATGTAATGGGAATGTACGGGGTGTACGAGGATGTACGAGGTGAATGGGATGTACGGGGTGTACGAGGGTGTACGGGATGTATGAGGTGTACGGGGTGTACGGGATATATGAGTTGTACGGGGTACGGGATGTACGGGGTATACGGGATGTATGGGGTGTACGGGACGTATGGGGTGTACGGGATGTACAGGGTGTATGGGATGTATGAGGTGTACGGGATGTACGGGGTGTACGGGATGTATCAGGTTTACGGGATGTATGAGGTGTACGGGATGTATGGGTGTGTACGGGTGTATGAGATGTACGGGATGTACAGGGTGTATGGGATGTATGAGGTGTACGGGATGTACAGGGTGTATGGGATGGGTGTATGTATCAGATATGGAATGTATGGGTGTAATGTACTGGGTGTATGGGATGTACTGGGTGTATGGGATGTATGAGGTGTATGGGATGTACGGGATGGGGGATGTACGGGATGTAGGGTACGAGATGTATGAGGTGTACAGGTATATGTATGAGGTGTACGGGATGTATGAGATGTACGGGTGTATGGGATGTACTGGGTGTATGGGATGTATGGGATGTACGGGGTGTATGGGATGTACAAGGTGTACGGGATGTATGAGGTGTACGGGATGTATGAGGTGTACGGGATGTATGGGTGTGTTTGGGTGTACGGGATGTATGGGATGTATGGGGTGTGTACGGGATGTACGAGGTATGGTGTGTACGGGATGTACGAGGTGTATGGGATGTACGAGGTGTGCGGGATGTACGAGGTGTACAGGATGTATGGGATGTACGAGGTGTATGGGATGTACGAGGTGTACGGGATGTATGAGGATACGGGTGTACGAGGTGTATGGGATGTACAGGTGTATGGGATGTATGATGGGACGTATGAGAGGTGTACGGGATGTATGGGCTGTTTGAGGTGTATGGGATGTACGAGGTGTATGGTGTGTACGTGTACGGGATGTACGAGGTGTGTACGGGATGTATGGGTGTGTACGGGATGTATGGGGTGTACGGGATGTATGGGGTGTACGAGGATGTATGGGGTGTATGTACGAGGTGTACAGGATGTACGGGATGTATGGGGTGTACGGGATGTATGAGGTGTACGGGATGTATGAGGTGTACGGGGTGTACGGGATGTATGGGGTGTACGGGATGTACGAGATGTATGGTGTACTGTGTACGAGGTGTACGGGTGTATGGGATGTACGGGTGTATGGGATGTATGGGGTGTACGGGATGTATGGGGTGTACGGATGTACGAAGGTGTATGGGATGTATGGGGTGTACGGGATGTATGGGGTGTACGTGATGTACGAGGTGTACGGGATGTTATGGGGTGTACGGGGGATGTATGGGGTGTACGGGATGTATGGGGTGTACGGGATGTACGAGGTGTACTGGATGTACGGGGTGGGATGTACGGGTGTAAGGAATGTACGGGGTGTACGGGATGTACGAGGGATGTACGGGGTGTATGGGATGTACGGGTGTATGGGATGTATGAGGTGTGTACTTGATGTACGAGGTGTATGTACAGGATGTATGGGATGTACGAGATGTATGGGATGTATGGGTGTGTACGGGATGTATGGGGTGTACGGGATGTATGGGGTGTATGGGATGTACGGGTGTACATGTGTACGAAGTGTACGGGATGTATGGGGTTTACGGGATGTACGGGATGTACGGGGTGTACGGGATGTATGTACGGGATGTATGGGGTGTACGGGATGTATGAGGTGTACGGGATGTATGAGGGGTGTACGGGATGTACGGATGTACGGGATGTACGAGGTGTATGGGATGTACGGGGTGTACGGGATGTACGAGGTGGGATGTACGGGTGTATGGGATGTACGGGGTGTATGGGATGTATGGGATGTACGGGATGTATGGGATGTAAGGATGTACGAGGTGTACGGGATGTACGAGGTGTACAAGGTGTACGGGATGTACGGGGGATGTATGGATGGGGTGTACGGGATGTACGTAGGGATGTACGAGGTGTACGGGATGTACGGGGTGTACGGGATGTACGAGGTGTACGGGATGTACGAGGTGTACGGGATGTATGGGGTGTACGGGATGTACGAGGTGTACGGGATGTATGGGATGTATGGGATGTACAAGGTGTACGGGATGTACGAGGTGTACGGGATGTACGGGATGTATGGGATGTACGGGATGTAAGGGGTGTACGGGATGTACGGTCAAGCAGATATACTGACAGGTGCTATGGTAGTTCATTGAAAACTACAAGATAATTTCCGCTAAGGCTGTCGGGACTTGCAGTTCATTCATTCACGGTAGTCTGTAAATGAGTGACGCAGCCTTGTGGGTAGAGCCCTGCATGGCCATGCTGTTTTCAAATCTGACAGATAGTACAGGGAGAAGTCACCCCCTTACTATCTATCGGAGGGAGGGGGGGGTCGGCAGGTGTGGCTGCAGCTATGGGAACATCTTACATGTTCCTCCCCTAAAAACCATGTAGCCACAGGGGTGTCAAACTGGTGGCCCTCCAGCTATTGTGAAACTACAAGTCCCATCATGCCTCTGCCTTTGGGAGTCATGCTTGTAACTGTCAATCTTGCAATGCCTCATGGGACTTGTAGTTTGGCAACAGCTGGAGGGCCGCCACTTTGACACCCATTGTAACATGTTCCCATACGTGAACTTATCCTTTAATTGAACAAGCTGAGGGTAGAAGCTGATTGGCTACCATGCACAGCGGCTCCAGATTTTGCACTCTCCAGTCTTAATGAATCAACCCCATAGAGTGTACGCAGTGCATACTAGCATGTTATGGCTAACAGCTACTGGGGACCCGTTTTAAAAAAAAAATTGGTGTTTTATTCCGCTTTCAGAAAAAATATTGATTAAATTTTATATGCAATTAATACAAGTGCGCGAATCTGTCTTGATATTAGCTTCCTGTACTCCCCTGTACTCAGGAGGAAGAAGCACTCCAAGGCTAACCATACATGATCCATTTCAACCAGTGGGCCGGAACTCTTCAATACGCATACTGGAGATCCCTCCACACAGCAGACATCTCCAGTATGTATTATCACCAGATACGGCACCCAGTGGGAGGAGGTTCATGAAATACTAAAAAAAAACATTGGCACATCCTTACCCAATCAACACAACTGTCTGAAATTGTAGGACCAAGACCATTATTGGTCGCTAAGAGAGCCATGAATATTAAGGACAATGTGGAACAATCTGAATTTATTTGTACATCCAATAGAAATTGGTTAACTGATTTACTTCCACTGAATGGTATGTTCCCTTGTGGAAGATGCCACATTTGATAGATTTACAGATGTTGGCCAACAGAAGGAGTATTTTATTAGTCAATTCATTACCTTCGCTACAACACGTGTCCTCTATGCAGGGGAGTCAAACTGGCGAACCCTCCATCTGTTGCGAAACTACAAATCCCATCATGCCTCTGCCTTTGGGACTCATGCTTGTAACTGTCAATCTTGCAGTGCGTCATGGGACTAGTTTGGCAACAGCTGGAGGGCCACCAGTTTGACACCCCTGTGCTAGGGTGTCCCTGCAATAAAATCTATATTGGTAAAACCAAGCGCCAACTTCGAGATCGTATAGGTGAACATCTGGGGAGAATTCATAATAAACAGGATAAAACCCCAATAACACAACATTTTGTTGCTTTTCATAATTTTGTTCCAAATTTCAAAGTTAAGGCATTCTATCAGGGGCGGACTGAGGGGTCACGAGCAGAAGGAAGGAGGTCCTGATTCCCCTATACAGAGCTTAATCAACACTAGAGGGATCACCAGCAGGAGGAAGGAGGTCCTGATTCCTCTATATGGATCTTTATATCACTAGAGGGGTCACCAGCAGGAGGAAGGAGGTCCTGATTCCTCTATATAGGTCTAGTTATCACTAGAGGGATCACCAGCAGGAGGAAGGAGGTCCTGATTCCTCTATATAGATCTTTATATCACTAGAGGGGTCACCGGCGGGAGGAAGGAGGTCCTGATTCTTCTGTATAGATCTTTATATCACTAGAGGGGTCACCAGCAGGAGGAAGGAGGTCCTGATTCCTCTATATAGATCTTTATATCACTAGAGGGGTCACCAGCGGGAGGAAGGAGGTCCTGATTCTTCTGTATAGATCTTTATATTACTAGAGGAGTCACCAGCAGGAGAAAGGAGGTCCTGATTCCTCTATATAGATCTTTATATCACTAGAGGGGTCACCAGCAGGAGGAAGGAGGTCCTGATTCCTCTATATAGGATCTTTATCACTAGAGGGGTCACCAGCAGGAGGAAGGAGGTCCTGATTCCTCTATATAGATCTTTATATCACTAGAGGGGTCACCAGGGGAGGAAGGAGGTCCTGATTCTTCTGTATAGATCTTTATATCACTAGAGGGGTCACCAGCAGGAGGAAGGAGGTCCTGATTCCTCTATATAGATCTTTATATCACTAGAGGGGTCACCAGCGGGAGGAAGGAGGTCCTGATTCTTCTGTATAGATCTTTATATTACTAGAGGAGTCACCAGCAGGAGAAAGGAGGTCCTGATTCCTCTATATAGATCTTTATATCACTAGAGGGGTCACCAGCAGGAGGAAGGAGGTCCTGATTCCTCTATATAGATCTTTATATTACTAGGGGGGTCACAAGCAGGTGGAAGGAGGAGGGGGGGTCACAAGCAGGTGGAAGGAGGTCCTGATTCCACTGTAGCGCCCTCTAGTTTTAGCTAGATAGAGTTCTTTTGCTGTGAGTCAGGCTTGTTAGAAACCTGGGATGAGTCAGCCTGGGAGTGAGACAGTGAGGTTACCTAGGTCAGGCTGGGAGGCTGTACAGGTCAGGGCTTCTTTAACCCTCCTACCTTTCTAGAAACTAGATGAAATTTCTAGAAGAATGTTTAAGATTTAAAGGGTGAGGAGGGGGGGGGCAACTGAGGACTTTTGATGTGAAAGGATGGGGGAAAACTAAAGACTCTGCTTGCAATAGATGAAGGGGAGGGAGTGGATGGGGGCGAGGGATCTGATGTGACCAAGGAGGGGGGCTGAAAAAAGGGAACACTAGTGTGTATGTATTGGCAGTCTGCAGGCGCACAGCCAGGTCGGCTATTTGTGGATTTATTCCATAGAGCTGCCACAATGCGAGTTGTGCACAAACCCAATTATGCAATTATATGACCGGCCACTAGAGGAAGCCCTGATCCCAGTTAGTGGAGCAGAACAACTTTTTTTTTTGGTAGTTTGTAAATCTTTTCTGCGTCAAGAGACAAGCTGCATTTCATTCTAAGTTCCAGTACAGGATCAGAAAGCCTTGTAATCCATTAGCGTATGTTTTGGTAGAGATAGCTGTTTCCACTTTGCTATTAGGGATGAATGGAGTGATTTTGGAAAAAATAATTTTGTAGCAAAAGTAAAAGTTTAGTTGCCAGTGAAATTTTGCCAAACCAAAAAAAAAACTTACATTTTGCTTAAGGGATCTTCATAGACGAAAATCCCTTTAAAAAAAAAGTTTTCTTTTGGTGGGATTGGGAGAGTGTAACTTGGGTTTTTTTTTTTTTTTATTGGGGGGCCATTCCACACCATTGTGTTGCGGTAACCACAATAAGCAGCAACATAGGTTATCGTCATTCTAAATGGAACCCCAACCCACCATGATGAAAGACGTGCGTTGTGGTGCACAGGCACAAAAGGTGGCTCTTCATGTTTTGGTAGCCCTTTTAGTGGGCTACCTTATAAATGCGTGTTGATGCATGCATGCATGTGCATTAACACACCACAACAGGGTGAATGTTTTTTTATGGTGGGGAGGAGATTCTGATGGTGGGGAGGGGATTCTGATGTTTGGAAGATTTTTCTGATGGTGGTTAGAGGATTCTGATGTTTGGAAGATTTTCTGATGGTGGTTAGGGGATTCTGAGCACGGGGAGGGGATTCTGAAGGTAGGGAGGAGATTCTAATGGTGAGGATGGAATTCTGATGGTGAAGAGGGGATTCTGATGGTGGGGAAAAGATTTTTAATGGTGTAGAGGGGATTCTGAAGGTTGGGAGAGGTATCTGATGGTGGAGAGGAGATTCTGATAGCGGGGAGGGGATTCTGAAGGTTGGGAGAGGTATCTGATGGTGGAGAGGGGATTCTGATGGCGGGGAGGGGATTCTGAAGGTTGGGAGAGGTATCTGATGGTGGAAAGGGGATTCTGATGGCGGGGAGGGGATTCTGAAGGTTGGGAGAGGTATCTGATGGTGGAGAGGGGATTCTGAAGGTTGGGAGAGGTATCTGATGGTGGAGAGGGGATTCTGATGGCGGGGAGGGGATTCTGAAGGTTGGGAGAGGTATCTGATGGTGGAGAGGGGATTCTGAAGGTTGGGAGAGGTATCTGATGGTGGAGAGGGGATTCTGAAGGTTGGGAGAGGTATCTGATGGTGGAGAGGGGATTCTGGTGTTTAGAAGATTATTCTGATGGTGGTTAGGGGATTCTGAAGGTGAGAAGGAGATTCTAATGGTGGGGAAGAGATTCTGATGGTGAGATGGTTGTAATGGTGGGGAGGGGATTCTGATGGTGGAGAGGAGATTCTGAAAGTGGGGAGGGGATTCTGATGGTATAGAGGGGATTCTGTTGTTGGGAAAGAGATTCTAATGGTGGGGAAGGGATTCTGATGGTGAGATGTTTGTAATGGTGGGGAGGGGATTCTGATGGTGGAGAGGGGATTCTGAAGGTGGGAAGGAAATTCTAATGGTGGGGAGGGGATTCTGATGGTGGAGAGGAGATTCTGAAAGTGGGGAGGGGATTCTGATGGTATAGAGGGGATTCTGTTGTTGGGAAAGAGATTCTAATGGTGGGGAAGGGATTCTGATGGTGAGATGTTTGTAATGGTGGGGAGGGGATTCTGATGGTGGAAAGGAGATTCTGAAAGTAGGGAGGGGATTCCAATGGTTGGGAGGAGATTTTATTGGTATAGAGGGGATTCTGATGTTGGGAAGGAAATTCTGATAGTGGGGAGGGGACTTTAATGTAGGGAGGAGAATCCAATGGTGGGGGGAATTCCAATAGTGGAGAGGGGATTCCAATAGTGGAAGAGGGGATTCTGATGGTGGGGAGAGTAGTTTTATAATGGGGAAGGGATTCTGATGGCGGGGATGGGATTCTGATAGGTAGGGAAGGGATTCTGATGGTGGGTAAGGGATTCTGATGGTGGGGAGTCTGATTGATAATGGGGAAGGGATTCTGATGGTGGGGATGGGATTCTGATAGCAGGGAAGGGATTCTGATGGTGGGGAGGGGATTCTGATGGTGGGGAGGGTAGTTTGATAATGGGGAAGGGATTCTGATGGCGGGGATGGGATTCTGATAGCAGGGAAGGGTTTCTGATGGTGGGGAGGGGATTCTGATGGTGGGGAGAGTAGTTTGATAATGGGGAAAGAATTCTGATGGCGGGGATGGGATTCTGATAGCAGGGAAGGGATTCTGATGATGGGGAAGGTAGTTTGATAATGGGGAAAGAACTCTGATGGCGGGGATGGGATTCTGATAGCAGGGAAGGGATTCTGATGGTGGGGAGGGGATTCTGATGGTGCAGATATATCTTTAACTGTCAGAGTTTCCAGTGTGACCATAACCGTAAGTCCTAACAGTCCATAGATCAGGAGATACAGGCAACAGATATTATAAGCAAATCATAGCTTTTCCTGTAAGCATCAACCCTGATTCCACCCTTTTTGTATCTCATATGTTTCCTTTTTGCTCCTAATGTTAAGGTAAAGCCTCAGTGTCCTATAGATAGCCTTGGAATAGGAAGGGGGCAGCACCAAGCTTGACTTTACAGGAAAGGTGAAGATTTGCATACCTTTAGAAGCCCCTCCGAATCTACTAATCATTTGGACCTGCACTGAAGGTAACCTTTACATGTGAATTTTTTCATCATATAAAATGGCCACCTTTGTGGCAAGCTAACCACTTACCAAGTCCAATGTATTAAACTTAAAAGCTTTCCAAACCTGAGACTAAGACTCTAATGTACGCAAAACTGCTTCCCCTCTTTGAAGGCTTTGAAAAATAACGACAAGAATGTTATTTAATAATTTTATTAACAGCATTATTAGTACAATACGTTATTTATAAAAAAAGAAGGATAAGAAAGTTGACATAGGATATAGAGATCGGGATTTCAGGTCCATAAAATATGACTGGGTAGGTCTTGGGTTCCTTCCATTCTGTAGAGATGTTACGGTGATCTAGAAAGTCAACTTTATGTATCATTAATGTAATCTTCAGCCTGCATGATATTCTGTAATTAAAGAACCCTGCATATCTCTCAGGTGCACCTATCACGTGGCCATTGTCTCTGCGTTGGTCATGTTCTTTTTCAGCTTGTCATCTTCAACAATACCACACAAGACATCCTGCAACGCCTTCAGGTGCACTTCTCTCCAGAACGATGAAGCTTTCTTTGTTTGGCATCATCCAGGATCACCATCTACTTCATGGACTGAGATGACACAATCATAAATCCTGGTGCCTGTTCACCAATGCCCAACACAGATCAGCCCCAGCTTC